TGAACCATGAGATCAGGGCCTGAGGCAAAATCAAGAATCAGATGCTTAATTGACTGAGCCACCCATGTGCCCTGGAATAAATATTTTTTTTAAATAAATTTTTTCACAGTTCAATAAGTCATCTTTCAGTGTTTGATTTGCTGTTAGACTCACCTGGTGAATTCTTAATTTGTTTGTAATTTTCATTTATAAAATTTCCAGTTGGTTTTGGTCAAGAACATCCATTTCCATGTCAAATTTCTTAAGATTGTTTTTTAACTCTATTAACATATTAAACTTTTTTTTTTTTTTTTTTGAGGTTCATGGATGATGACTCCTTTTTCTGATTTACTTGAGGGAATTTCACTTGTTTGTTGTCTTAGTCTTCAGTCACATGATCTTGTCTCCTCACGTGCCTAGTTTTTTTTTTTTTTTAATGTGTACTAAACATTGTACGTGAAAAATGCAGGAATGATTTGAGCCTGAAGGATTTACTGGGGGCTCTCAATTCTTGTCTTCGGTGGACTCTAAGTTTCCAATTTTTGTTCTTCAAAGTCCCATGAATCTGTTGAAAGCTCTGTTCAGCTTCTCACTCATGCTTTCAAATTGGCAGATGCCTCTAGAAGCAAATTGGCTTTAGTGCCTGGCTCACCTTCTGGTTTTCCTCTGTTCCCACATCTTGTTCTTGTGAGTTCCTATAGCCTAGGTAGCTGGTGGCATTTTGATGTTTCCAAACACTTCATATATAATATGTGTGTGTGTGTATATAAAGTCAGATTTTCTACTTGTTCTCGCAGGAAGGCTAATCCAAACCATCAAATTCATCATTCCTAGGTAGAACTCCATCCTACTGAAAAGTTTTCTTTTTCTCTTCTCATGCAATATGGATACAGGGCAGTTTAAGTAAAACTGATTTGTTTTGGATTTTCCTGGACAGGCCAGAGAGGATAATCCAATAGACCGGGAAGAGGTTTGGGTAGCTTACAGGGTTTCTTAGCTTAAGACTATCCTCTTCTGTGGCTGCAGTGAAGCTTCTTTAATAAATTATTTCTTTTTAATGATAATACCATTTAGTGATACTATCTCGTTTCATTGGGGCCCATAGTTTCAGCTGGTTCTTTCTTTCATTTCACTATCACGTCTCCAAGGATACCTCCCCATATCAAAGTGTTTCCCTCTCTTCCAGGTGTCTTCCCAAGGTTACTACCTCTGGTCCTATGTACTTCTCAAGCGCCTTTCTTTCATTTTTCCAGTAGCTAATAACTGCCCCACCAGGCCTCGGACATGTTCTCAGCATTTCCCCACTCAGCATGCCCTCGCCCTACTGAGGGACCTTGAGTTGATGCTGTCTGAGTTCTGCTGCCACTAGAACCCTGTCACACTCACTTCTCTTATGCTCAGCCCTTGCCTTGCTCCTCCTCTAGTGTGGGCTTCTGAACTGAGGTTTATTTCCTCCACTCACATGTAAGGTGAAGTCCGTAGAACTTTCTTTCTCCTAGTTATGTAGTAGGAACGGGTAATTTCTTGTCCTATTAGGATGCAGAACAATAATAACACATCTTTTTAACTTTTTGATAGGATTGTGTTTTAATTATCCTTTTACTGCTTTCTAATTTTACTGCATTTTGCTTAGAGAAACAGTCTACAAGATTTCAATTCTTTGGAAATTGAGACTTCCTTTGTGGCTGAGTACATGGTTGATTTTTTTTTTTAATTTTCCATTTGCACTCTATATTTGCTTGAGATTGGTAAACATATTAAGCACATCCTCTAGACTTAAAAAAAAAACTTTTTTGATTTATCACTCTCTGAGAATTAAAATCTAGTAAAACTCATGTGGCCGCAATATTTTGTCTGCAGTTTTGTCAGGTTGTTGCTTCATATTTTGAAGCTGTACTGTTAGGTGTGTATCTGTTCAAGTTCATTATATCTTTGACCTGTTTTCCTTTTACCGGTATAAATAGTCCTTGTCTCTTGTTTTCCACCTTGAATTCTGTTTTGGGTTACCTGGCCTCGATGTTTACACAAGACATCTATCTCTTGTTTTATAGGTTGTCTTTGCTCTCTTGGTTAGAAAAACCTCCCTAATCGGGGTGCCTGGGTGGCTCAGTCGGTTAAGCGGACGACTTCGGCTCAGGTCATGATCTCGCAGTCTGTGAGTTCGAGCCCCGCGTCGGGCTCTGTGCTGACAGCTCAGAGCCTGAAGCCTGTTTCGGATTCTGTGTCTCCCTCTCTCTGCCCCTTCCCTGTTCATGCTCTGTCTCTCACTGTCTCAAAAATAAATAAAATGTTAAAAAAATAAAAAAAAAAAAGAGAAACCTCCCTAATCTTGGGTTGTGTATAGTCTCTTCAGTTTTTTCCTTAAATTTATCTAATTTCCCCTATTGTTAATGATGGCATGTGTAACTAGGACAAAACACATTTATGCCACATAAAGCTTGATTTAATGACACATTTCCTTAAAAAAAAAAAAATTCCTTATGCTTCAGCTCCTTACCAGTGATTCCTGAGAGCTTTTTGAGTTCCAGCCTCTGTTACTTCGCTACAAAAGCAAAGACACAAAAATTAGCTTGCTGTTTGCTCAGTTTCATAATGGTTGATTAAAAATGCCCCCCCCCCCGCCATCACAGTAAATTAAGAGAAGTCGTCACACAAGGGCAGATTTTGGGAATGCCATTGGATCTGTCACAGATGCTGGTATCTAAAGTAGCACCAAGAGAAGAGAAAGGAAAAAAAATGTGGCTTGAGTAACTAAAAAGGAGTAGAGGGAGACAGGTGGGAGGAAATGTTTAGTGGAATGAATATGTGTAAACAGAACAGATGACAGAAATAGAAAGATCAAGAGGGTGAATTTGATTTATAAAGGAAATTAATGGTGCTCAGTAAAGAGAGGGGTGATGCTGTTACAGGGATGAGGAAGGTGAATCTCAACAGAGGAGGGGCAAAAGGCAGAAGACAATGCCATCCACCACAGAAAAGAGGCCATATTCTAAGCCTGAGAGAACCAGATTTTACTTCAGAACAACTGGAGGAAAAACACGGTTTAAAGACACGAGTCAATGTTACATGGAAAACGAAAGGGTAAGAACAAAAGGTGTCACAACACCAGAGCATGGGCCCAATTTTCCAGGTTAGACTGTAAAGTGCAGTCCACTGGTGGCTCTTTGAAATGGAAGTGAAAAATCTATCTTGCAGGATAAGAGAGATTGGGATGAGGAGATGTTTTCTAATTCTGTATTTTCAGTTTTTAAAACACTTGTTTCCACATCTTTGATATTTTGGAGCTTTCCGGTTGACCTGGAGGTTGTTTTTATTCTGAACAAAGGGGATGTAGAGATGTTTGCTCCCATTCAGGGATCTAATTAGGCATGTTGTCCAATCTATAATAAGTCACGGGCTCAGTTTTTCTTTGTCAAGGTAGTCAGAGGCCTTCAGGCATGAGTGACTTATTGAAATGTACTCTCATAGTTAGGGATGAATTATTATCCTGATATTGTCAATCACTCAATAATTTTATATCCCCAGAGCTCTCTCTTGGTTGTTTTGTACCACACAAAGACGACACTTTATTCTCATATTTGTTCACAGACATGATAACACATTTTTGTATCCAGCGAAGAAGGAAATCCTTCTAAATGCAGCAAGAGTGGCAGTCTGACTAAAAAAAGTTATTTTCCATATCCACAAAAATGTTAATCAGATTCTTGTCAGAACATGTGTAAGAAGTGGTTTTCATTGTCACAGCTCTTGATGTCAGATTACTAAAATAATTTATGTTTTGTTGCAGGGAACATGGGTGTGAGCAGAAACCCCCAAGTCACGTGACCACTTCTGAGCCTACTCTTCTTCCCAACACACAGAAACGATCTGTGTTTCGTGGTACCGAGTGAACGGTGGGAACGGTGGAATTTCAACATGGCTGTTCTTTATTTGATTAAATATACTCTCTATTTATTCTTAAAAAAAACTAATTTAAGTTAAATGGCAATAAACCATGATAATTTGGAAAACATGTTGAAATTGAGAGTGAAGAGAAATGTTCTGTATGTAAACCACACTGTAAACCATAAAACTTATTTTTGTCAACTGCTTCTCATGACAGTGGCTGGGAATTTGACATTTCTACTACAGTAGGCAGAAAACCATGTAAAAGACACTCTCCCACATCCCACATCACATCTCTATTTATATTTCCAAACTAAAAGCATTACAGCCCCGGAAAGTGCTGAGTGGACTGCGTACGTTTACACCAAGGGCTGTAAGTTCACAGAAGCGTGGCCTTGGACTGGTGTCTTTGTGTGGCAAGGCCCCTGTCGGCACCCCTGCCCGCACCCTGTCCCCCAAGCCACCCTGAATGGAACAGGCCTGGCTCGCCAAGAGAAAACCGTTGCTCCATAATCCAAAAGGCGATGAACTTTTTTCAGTGAACTCTGGTCAGTGCGAGACAGGATAAAAAACTCTTCTCAAACTGATTCCGAAACCCACGTGAAGCACCCCCACGATGGCATTCAGTACGACTTACCCACTTGAAAATGTGTCAGCAGCTATTCAATTACTTAAGGAAAGGAGACTTGTAAAAATTTACGTAGTTGCAAGGTGAAATTTTTAAGGCTAGAAAAAAGACCTTTGATAATCTATACAAGCAAACGTGAATGTGACAGAAACACGGCTGGTTCTCTAATCATGTCTGAGGTATACATTCCACCCGACTGACGAGGTCTCAGAAGATTCCTGATAAAAACTCCCCCTTTCCACTTAAAGATCATAAGAAGGCAGCGCGGTCCGGTTCTTTTCCCCGCAGAAAGGGTATTTAGTTTGGGATGTAACGTTTTAAAACAATAATACAAACCTCCTGGGAGAATACCACAATAAATGTCTCAAAAACCACTCAGTTAATCCCAGGGTATAATCCGGCTGTTTTAAATTACTGCAGGGAATATTATGGGCCTTAATGACACTGTAACTGCATGAAGCCAAAGAAAGCTAGAAAGAGAGGCCAAAAAGATGAGCTCAGAGCCAGCTGAAGTGACAACAAACATGTGGCTGTTTACTAGGATTGGAGAGGTTTAGTCTGCAGATGTTTGCGGTCTCTAGAAGGTTCCAGAGGAATGAGTTATTATGAAGATTTGCAGAGTCTGATGAGAGCAAGATTCTTCTTGGAGATGGCGGGCCCCAGACAGGGAGGCCCAATGGTAGAGACAGAATTTATAGATTTCTGCGGTCAGATCGTACTCTACTGGTCCCACAATGTACATCAACAAATTAATATTGTACGGATGTCATTTCAAAGCCTCCTAAAGACGAGAGTCATTATTGAAGCCATTAGAGCACAGATGGTTCAAACTATATGCAGATATTCATACTTGCATTTTTGCATTATAGCTGCTTTTTTTTTCTGTTGAACTGTAATGAATTGTCTCATAATCTATTCCATCTTCTTGCCATTAGCAGGCTTTGAATGTTCACAAATAGGAGCAAAGAACTCATTTTCCAGAGCTTTAATCACACAAAGAGGGAATGCCTAATTCTCTAAATGAAATGGTCTGTGATCACTGAAGCAGAGATTTAATATATCACGGCAAATTAGGTAGATTTTAATAAATTACTTATCTCCCTGAATACTTTACATATGCTTAAGAAGGAACATAGCCTGTTTGCAAACAGTGAAAACCCACAGCCTATAAAAATCCTTTGAAGAAAATGACAAATAAAAAAGTAAATTAAAAAATGAAATGCATTATACCCTAGACCTCTAGAGACAATTCCTTTGCAGCATTGATTCACGGCTCCATTAAAAATATCAATTAAATCCTTCAGTGAGATTGGGTAAAAGCTAGAAAATTAACTTTCTGAGCGGCTTTTCGAGGATCTGGTTATCCAGATCCACCCCACCTTTGTACAAGGCTTGATGTAAATTTTAAAAAATGATAAAAAAAAGATATTCCTTTCAGGTCTAACTAAGCATATCAGAATGTGAACCACACTTTTAATAATTTTTTTCCTATGTCATAAGCTAAGTTTTCAAACTATAAATTTCACGTCCCTGGATCCCGTATCACCATCGCGAATACATAAAAACCATACAAACGGGAAGAACTGTGATTTTTAAGAAAGAAAACCAAAAACTTGAAGTAATTTCAGAAGTTGGTGCCCAGTCTCCTTCTTTATATTTAATTGATAGAAACTGCATGCATCAAAGAAAATGCATACTGAGCTTTAATGTGCATAAAGTGGATATTAGCATTTTAAAGAGGAAGATTAACACATTAATCCAAGTAATTTTCATATATTGCTTCTAATAAAATCTTCACAGTGTAAAACTCTTAATGAGGCTAATCGTAGGCATTCCATTTAGTGGGACGATTAGGGATAACATAAAAGTGTGTCTTTTTTCCTAGGTTTTCTCAGATTTATCCTTTTTGCTTATTACAAATAAAAATGGGAATTGCATGTCAGTTCTTCATAAGAAAGTGTTGAAAATGCAAATGGGCTTTCTCATGCTATCATGTAGGTATGAATTATTGAGGAGGCACTGCCCATGGTGGAGAACTGAAGTCCCGAGGGGTGGCAGTCGTGGGAAGGAGGGAGTAGCAAAATAAACAAATGAAAAAGTATACAAAACTTGAACACTGCCGACCCGGACCTCCCCCTCCCCGCGTCCCATGAATTATAGATTATATACACCAGAGTGATTACAAAGATCTCATCTCAGGGCTTTCATGTGAGTGTTTACTCGGGAGGAGGAGATGCCTCTGGAGCGGCTTCTTTCAGCCTCCAGGTCCTCTCTGTGCTGCTCGTAGACAGACCGTAGGGCCTGGAGTGCTTCGACTGTGACCCTGAGCTTGCCAATGCCTCCACCGTCTGCCCGTGCATCCAGAACTAGGGAGAAAAATAATAGCAGAAGAGTATGAATATCACTCACCCGATTTTTCTCTTCAGATAGGCCACATGAGACAGGAGTTGAAAAGACGAAAACGGGGGCGCCTGGGCGGCTCAGTCGGTTAAGCGGCCACCTCTCGATTTCGGCTCAGGTCGTGGTCTCAAGGTTCAGGGGATCGAGCCCTGATAGGCTCTGCACTGACAGCGCGGGGCCTGCTTGGGACTCTCTCTCTCTCTCTTTCTCTCTCCTCTCTCTGCCCTTCCCCCACTCATGCGGCGCACACCCTCTCCCTCTCTCTCAAAATAAACAAACTTAAAAAAAAAAAAAAGAAAAGAAAAGGTGAAAACAGCTTTATAAGAGTCCAAAGTTCACTGGCATCTCAGAAATCTAAAACTTGAAGCCTGTCATGTGTGTCTGAAGAGACACATTTCGGGTCTATCACATGTGTACATACATGTTGTTTGTGGACTTAAGACTCATGATCTATCCTGAAGTTTACCTAGTGGAAAGGCTGGAAGAAAACGATTCTCACATAGGATCGGAATTTCTAAGCTAGAATAAAGAAAGCCTAAAAGGGATAACATATGACAATTCCAAATCTTTGTTTTGAGGAAACCTTTAAACACAACTTGGTATACAAAGCCTCAGGTTGACCTGAGCAGAAGGGGAGGTCACAGGGCCCAAGTGGTCCCCAGCTCGGTCCCCTGAGTTTACACCTCTCTGTTGGGACTCCTCGCTGCTTTGTCTGGCACAGAACCCAGCGTTAGAATCCTGACCTGGCCAGTGTTTAAGGGTTTGCCTCTCTTTCAGAACATGGCCACAGTAGCTGCATCAGATGAGTATGGCCATAGGGGACTCTCAGAATGAGAGGATGGGTCGCGAGACAACACTGACTGGAGAAAGGAGTAAGAACATACAGCAGAGATAATTTTCCTCATTTTTGTCAGACTCTCTTGGTTCTGGTTGTCTGTAAGAGGGTTTAGGGTAACATTTTAATCTTCTTATCCTTTTTTTCTTTTTTTCTGTGCTACACGAAGTTGTGACAAACTGTCACGTAATATGTGTGGTTTATGAGGATTTCCCAGGATAGGTTTCCGATTCGGTTAATTATTTGGCTTGATCTTGACTTCTGACCTTGATCTTCTAGCACATTCTCAGGACAGGCGGCCTGACGTGTGAACCGCAGATGAACTCTGGTGTAACAGAGTGTTTGGCACTTAAGAGGTGCTCAAATAAGTGTTCATTTAATGCATGAATAAAGGAGTAAACAAGCCATGGACAGCTTCCCAGACATGGCTCCGCTAACGTGACCAAGGAGACCAGAGCTCGGCCTCCGTTCTCCATTTACCGTGAACAACCCAGGTCATCCTCGGTATGATTTTTAAAAGTCTGATTCATAAAGCACAATTCCTTCAGCATGTTCTAAATATGTTCTGTAAGGATACAGAGGGTAGAAAGTAAGCACCGATGGGACTCATGCCTCTGAGGTGAAAATCCAGGAGAGTACATTTTGTCAGGAATCCTCTCCTCCTCCCTGAATCCTGCTAGGAAATAAGTGAGTGGTACCGCTTGGAGTTATCTGCAGTGGCTCCATCACTGGATTGTGACACTGAATTAAAGAGAAGCCTTGCAAAAGACACTACAATGATGACTCAGAATAACATGCCTTGGCTGAAATAAGGCTTGACAGCAGGAAGCTTCCATAAACAACACGAAAAACATCCAATGGCCACATTGTTGTCACACACTCACCCCTAACACTACCAAAATGAATAATTCCTTGTGAAGCGCAATTAATTATTTTAAAATTTCTGTTGATTGAAAGGAGGGCAGAGGGGGAAGGGGAAGGGAGGGATTGTAGGGAAAAGCTTCCAGCTTCAAGAAAAAGTCAGCTTGGGTTGCAAAGGATTCAACCAGCATGTGACTCAACGTCCCTGCAGCCAACTAAAAAGAAGGTTTTAATAAAGAATTTGGATTTCAGCAATTGTACAAATTGAGCAATCCTTCCACCCATACCATCGATATTTTGCTCGATGATGTCTCTCCCTTCCTGAAACATGTCAGCGAGGTCAATGTCAACTATGCCAATGTCCTCACACTCCAGGTCCTGCTCATCCTCTGGAGGGTCGCTGACCACAGTGAAGCGAATGCTGAGAAGGGACAAAACAGAGAATCACCACACAGTGCGAAAAAAATCACCATGACACACAACTCCCAAATGGGGCTTTATCACTAAGTATGAAATCTCAAAGTTTCCAATTATTCCAATAAAAAGCAAATTACATGAGGTTAGATAAGTTATTGCGTGAACTATTACAATTATTATAGCACACCCAGCCTTCAAATGAACATGAATCCACTTTTCCAAGTGCTGATTAACATTTAACTCTAGGGGCGCCTGGGTGGCTCAGTTGGTTGAGCGTCCGACTTCGGCTCAGGTCACGATCTTGCGGTCCGTGAGTTCGAGCCCCGCGTCGGGCTCTGGGCTGATGGCTCAGAGCCTGGAGCCTGTTTCCGATTCTGTGTCTCCCTCTCTCTCTGCCCCTCCCCCGTTCATGCTCTGTCTCTCTCTGTCTCAAAAATAAATAAAAACGTTAAACAAAACAAAACAAAACATTTAACTCTAGAATCTGAGAAAATTACTAGGTAAAGAGAAGAACCAGATGTTCGCTCTAATACGCACTATCTGATCATATTTTGACACGTTTACTTTTTTTTTAATGTTTACTTTTGAGAGAAAGAGAGAGACAGACAGACAGACAGAGCATGAGCAGGGAAGGGGCAGAGAGAGAGAGGGAGACACTGAGTCCAAAGCAGGCTCCAGGCTCTGAGCTGTCAGCACAGATCCTGACTCGGGGCTCGAACCCGCGAATCGTGAGATCACGACCTGAGCTGAAGTCGGATGCTTAACTGACTGCGCCACCCAGGTGCCCCGACACATCTATTTTTAAGTTAGAAAGATCGAGTGGAGAAGGACCAGGGAGATCAGGGCCCTGTTTTCAAAAGAAATGCAACATTGTCTATAGAAACGTACACCTTCAGAGTGACTACTAAGCAGTCTCTCCAACTATATGTGTTCCGCGAAACGCAGACATGGCGTTCGCCGGGTAACATCCTGAGTCACGTCAGGTAAATGTGGTAGCTCTGCCCAAGAGCTACATGAAATGTTTGTGTTACTTCGGCAATGTTTTAGTTCACAGTCATAGCATCCAAGTTTTATTTTACTTTTAGACACATAATTGTAAGGTTCTGATGGAACTGATTTGAATTAGTGGCTTGTGCTGAGGCCAAACACACTTGGATTGACCAAATGACAGGAATTTACAGTTAAGTGCTCTTTGGATATGTCTTGGCAGCATAACTTAAACCATGGATGCTTGTAAACTACCATTTTAACCATTTTCAGAACGTATCCATCCCAAATCAGATACAAGACAAGAAACTTGTTTCTGAGATAACATTTTTAGATGAAATTCTAAGTCTCCGAGAAATCATGCCTTGAAAAATATGCACGAAGAAAATCTTTTGCAAACGCTTATAGGTAAACATGATAGTATTTAACTAACTTGCTGAAAATAAGTATTCAACGTTTAATTCCTTTATGGAGTCTCTGTTATCAGTCAGCAATACATTTTGATTACGAATCCCTTCGGTTGAAATCAAAGGCAATACGTATTCACACAATAATTGTCAAGAGTGCAGATGCTGGTCCGTTAAGTGGATACACTGAATGCTTTACATGATGCATAAAATAGAGGGATTAGGATGGAGTGGTTAAGGGCACCCGTTTTGAGTTCCAGTTTCTGCTTTCCTACTATTAACTTTGTGACCTCGGACACATTGCTTAACCTCTCTGATCTTGTATCTGTAGAATGGGAAGAGTTATGCCTATCTCAGGGCTCTTGCGGGCACTCAAATGAGATGATGCATGTAAACAGTGCCTGGAATATGGTAAACACAGTGTTTCCACTTTTATGACTATCATTATTAATCTACGTAGGACTGCTTAAGCTTCTACATTTCTAATGGAAGAGAAGAAGAAGACCTGGGGAATGCTCGTTTCTGTTGAAAACTGAAATTGCCAAATCATACGATGACTGTATCAGTCAAACAAGTTGATGCACACTGTACATCCACAAGGCTTACAGAAAAATAGAGGTTGTACAGATCGCACTAATATTGTTAAGTGTTATCCTCCTGTACTGTCTCGTATTTAAGGATCATATCTCTATCGCTTTACAAATGCAGACCTTTACCTCCACTGAATATATGAGAATTCTGAGACAAAAAGGAAGAAAAACGAACCCTTCTAAATGCCAGAGAAATGGCTAGAAACCCACACTCAGTATTTCTTGTTTTGAATTCTACAGAGAGCCAAGTGAGATGTCAAATAGGAAATTAAGAAACTGCGAAGTCAAGCTTTAAAAAGGAAAGAAGGTGCACTAAGATAATGTAAAAGCCACAGTCTGGCTTAGTTTAAGCTGTACAGAAGACATCTTACGTCTCAGCTTTAAGCCAAAACAGAGTGGACACCTTGTTTCGCGTCCCGAAGAGGACCCAGTCTGAGGACCGGGACAGACACGGGGGGGAGAGGCCAAGTACCCATGTGGAGGTGAGACGGGAAGCGACACACGGGCTGCTTCTGCCTCCTCTTCCTCCCTCTCCTCCTGCAAAACTCTCCCTTTCCCAGCGAAATCTGCCTTGCTAACCCCTCTGCCGGGTCCTAGACACAGACCTCTATGTCTTCCTGTGTGCCTGGAGCTCCCTCTGCCTGGAATGAATGGTGTTCCTGAGGCTGTTCATGACCTGACTGGGTTCTCTCATCCCTCACTATCCAGCTTTTTGTCACCTCCTTAGATCTGCCTTCACCGTTCTATTCTAACTTGTTTAACTTTCTCTTTGTGCTTATTGTAATATGTAATTGGTTTCCTTGTTGGTGTCTGCCTTCCTCAGTGGGATGTAAACTCTGTTTAAGTTCAGGGACTGGACTTCACCTTGTCCAGCATTTAGCTCCTGACACCTATATAGGGGATTATAAACGGTTTTTGAATTACTACGTGAATTGCAAAATGGACGATCCTACTGAAGGCTGGCTCATCTGAAGAAGGCTTACTGGAGAAGGCGGGCCCTGGGCTGGACATCAAGATTTAGACCTCAAATGTCACTTGCTGTTATTGAGGAGATCAGAAAGCACTAAAGCTCCTTAAATTGTGTAATATTTTTGATTCTGTCCTCATTCTGAAAGAATTCCTTTTTGTATAAAACAGGATAGAGGGGCTGAAGGGTTACCTGTGAGGGTTACATATTAGAATTCTGATGTCATGTTGGAGCTGCTCAACAGAACAGCTGAAATGAAGAGATGAAACCAAAAAAGAGCTTGAAGTCCGTGTCAAAGCTATGACTTCAAATAAACACTTTCTCTCTCTCTCTCTTTTTTAAATGTATATTTATTTTTGAGAGAGAGAGGGAGAAAGACAGAGCGTGAGTGGGGCAGGGTCAGAGAGAGAGAATCCTAAGCAGGCTTCAAGCTGTCAGCACAGAGCCCAACGTGGGGCTTGAACTCATGAACTGTGAGATCATGACCTGAGTGGAAGTCGGATGCTTAACCGACTGAGCCACCCAGGCGCCCCTCACATAAATAATTTTTAAAGTCCCACTTTAATGTGTTACCTCCATATTATTTATTTATTTTTATTTGAGAGAGAGAGAGAGAGAGAAAGAAAGAGACAGAGCATATGCATGTGGGTGGGGGGCGGAGGGGCAGAGGGAGAGAGTGAGAGAATCTCAAGCAGGATCCATGTGTGGAGCCCAATGCAGGGCTCAATCCCACAACCCTGGATCTTGACCTGAGCTGAAATCATGAGTATGACACTCAATGGACTGAGTCACCCAGGTGTTCCATTTCAAAGTGATGGAACATATGCAAATATGTATGCAAATATATGCATATATATTGTATATGCAAATATAGCATGGGGCAAGATGCAAAGGTGCTGTATGTAATTCATCATCAATGTACATAATTTTATGTGTGTCAGGAAACCCTGGCCAAACTTCTCTGACTGTGGCTTTGTAAACTATCTCCAAAACCCAAGAGGGTTGCTGCTTGAGAAAATGAATTCTTATAAACTAGCAGATACTTTAAATAATGTGAGGTAATGTGACCTGTATTTGTAAAAGGTGGGAACATTCACTGGAATAACAATGGTCTTTTGGCTGTGGAAACATGTAAACACAAACTCCTCCTTTTTCCTGAAGAAAAGGATACCGTCAGGGAGAAAAGTGGGCCTGGCCGTTCTCTCCCATCATGGCCCCATTCCTGCCACGGAGGTTAGTGGTGCACACTTCAGAGCTACGGGCATTTGCTGTGCCACTGTCAGCCCGCCATCACTCTGCACCTGCAGTGCCTCTCTCGGTTTTTCTCAAAATGACACAAACGTTTGTGTCTCTAGGGGTCATTTAGAGAATTTGGAGAAACAAGGATGGGTCATTGGGAGTCATTACATTTATTGTGGACTTTAAAAAAATTTTAATACTATTTTGGTTACAAGAAGGTCTTCTGAGGAAAGGCAGGTCTACATTTAAAGCAGAATCTGTCTTTTAAAAAATACACACTTTTGAGGAAACACAATTGCTCTCCCCGGCTGAGGGGTGCTACTAATAGGTTCTGACATTCCAGAAACAAAGTGAACACAGAGGTAGACAAGTGAGACGGAAAAGATTGGCAAGTCCAGCCCAGGGCTTGTCTGTGGGAACAGAGCTCAGTCCTGGTCAGTGATGACCCAGCTTGTTGACTGCAGAGAAGCAGATGTCATGGTCAGTGCTATGTAACCACTTGGGACCTGGGATAACCCTGGGAGACTGATGGTATGTGAGGGGCTTTGCGAGGGGGCTCTGCAAGAAGCTCAAGCAGACAAAGTAAATAGGTAAAGAATGATTATCAACCATGCTGGGAAAAAACGGAGCTCCAGGCTAATTAACAGGGTTGTTTTTTTGTTTTGTTTTGTTTTGTTTTGTTTTTTTAGCACCGCTTCAGAACTGAGATCCAAAGAATTGACATGTGTGTTTCAAGGAGTTAATGAAAAAGCTGCTATCACATCCTAAGAACTAAGAATTCCAGTCTCCTTTCTTAGAAGATCAAATGCTAGTTTGGAGGCTCTTTTGAAAAATAGAATGTCTTTAACATTCACTTCATGCCCTCTAGGAAAACAGAGAACTTGAGCCTCTTTCTAAGGTGGGCAGGGGTGAGCTCCGTTTCTGAGGCTGTGTCATCTGTGGACCACAAAGGCAAGGAGAAGAGGACAACAGAGAGATAAAGGGCCCACCCAGACCAAGGGAGGAGAGCCAGCAGAGGGGTTGATGGGCAGCACCTCACGTAACTCCTCAAACTGTACAACGGGGGAGCTCACGCAAAAGCAGGAAGTTAGTGACATCAGGGTGTTTCCTTCTTAAAAGGGTATCAGTTCTCTCCCGAAACGGAATTGCAAAGTCTTCTGTTCAAATTTGCAAAAATAATAAATAAAAAATTAATAAATAAAATAATAAATAATAATAATAATAAAAATAACAAATAAAATAATAAAGTAAAATAAATAAATAATAATAAAAAATAAAATAATAAACAAAAATAAAAAGACTAACAAAATAACATGAAGTGAATTAAACAATGATAGGAAGGTAAAATTCGTCTGAAAGGCTGATGAGCTATTCCAAATAATAATATTGATATTACTCCCACTTCCACTGAGGACATCGAACACTTATTGCCCACTGTGTTGTCAGGTTCTATCTATTCCGGCCATCTCACTCATATGATCTCATTTAATCCTGACAACAACCCTATAGGGTATTATTACCGCCATTTTACAGATGGAGAAGATATGCGGCGCAGGATACTTATCCAAGGTCAGACAGCTAGTAGGTGATGAAACATGAACTCAAACCATTTGGCTCCAGAGCGTACCCTCCTTACGATTACATTACGCTTTTTGCAGTTCTACTCGGCCAGTAATGGGGTCCTGCATACATACTGTATGGTCTTTTGCTCGGCAGGCTCTGTGGGATCTTTACAGTTACTCTGTATGGTATGCAGGCCTCCTGTATTTCCGGGAGGAAAAGAGACCCCGAGAGGAAACATTCTCATTCACGGATACAGAGTGAAATCAGAGAAGTCAGGTTCTCTGATTCCTCGTTATACATTTTCTTTCGCCACACCGTGCCACGGAGGTCTACGTTTACAGAAGCCATGAGATAATTTAGAATGCTAAAGGTACCTTCTATTGGGCATCTCTTGTTTCAGTAGGATAGCTTTCAAGATGTCTCTCTTTGCTTGGTTGTTTTCTTTATCCACGTAGATCACTATACCAAAAAAAAAAAAAAAAAAAAAAACCCACAGGAGGAAGCCATCAGGAAATATGCCACATTAGTACCATTCTGTATTTGTATAAATACCTGTTTTTCGAGACACAAGTCATGCCACCTCACTTGTATGCCTGGGAAAAGAAAGTGGCTCTGGAAACCAGAGTCAAATCCGAATAGTCATGTGATCTAATGTCATGTCACTGGCAGGTTTATGTGCACACTGTCAGAAAAGATACAAGCAACATCTAAGAGTGCCACATCGCTGTCACTGCCTGTTAATGGCACTGGCAGTCATGACAGTAAAAGCCAGCGGTCTTTATTGCTTTGTATTTGAGGGATTTACTGCATTTTCTTTCACCCAAGAAGCGAGTGATAATGATAATGTATGGCAGAGAGCTTGTCCTTTCTGACAGCCTCGGTAATTTAATCCTTCTCTCCTGCCACAACATGCAATAAAAGAGGCATCTAGCGTATTGGGTTGAGGAAATCCATAGGCTGACGTTTACTGGTGTTTGGGTGGGGGGTATGGGAGAGAAATGTGGAGGAAGGGAGAGAGGCTTTTTAGGGTAGGAAGTTTGTCTTTGGTTTTGAAAGGTGCATGTTGGCCTGCAGGGATGTGGCCAGACTTTACCTGGCTGAAATATGAGGGGAGATAGCTGATCTAAAGTCCCACCAGGAAGAAGGCAGTGAGCACTTGAACCTGTAAATAAGCGTCTGCAGTTTGGGAAAACGGCATCTCAGAGTGCGAACTCTCCAATTTTCAACCTGATTATTTTTTCTCAGCTCGGCAGCCTTTCAGCCATGCCTTAGCTTCTGAAGACATTTCTTTTTCACATGCCATTTTGGAGGTAAAGTCTCCCCTGTGACCAGCTCTCAATTTAGAGACTATCCTGATCAAAAGTACACAAAGGGTGAAAGATACCATGACAATTCCAAAGCCAGACTCCGCTGGGAAAGAACATATTTCATACTGAGAATGTTTCCCTGGACAATTTTAGTCCAATCTCAAACTACGATGCTATCAGTTCATTTAGTCATTTGGCTCCGTTGACGTGCTGGGCACTGAGGCACACAGGGTGGGAGACACATAAGTGTCTGTGTAGGGGTGGGTTAAGGATTTAAGAGAAGTGAGAACCGAGGTCAAAGAGGGGCTCTTGGTTTACTGCTGTTTGCATAATGCAGTATCAGTGAATGTGACTAATTATATAGGTTACGGAGATTTACGGCAATCAAAAAAGAAAAGCTTCAGAGTATTTTGTGAGTCTAGTGCTTTGCTTACCAGTGCTAAAAAGGCTTGCTAACGGAGAAGTACCACTAATGTTGGGAGACTGCACCTCATTTTGGCCACCAGTACACCAAGCCAAATGGGAACTTTTTTCCCCAAATGGGAATTTTTTGGTTTTGCTGTTAATCACCACCAATTCAAGAGACGGTTGAGCATATTTTTTTGACTTCAGAGTTCTAAAACTTAAAAGCCATAATGGTCTACATAACTTTGGGGTTTTTTTGGTGATAATTTTTTGGATCATTTCCTCCCCCCCATTTTATTGAGATATAATTGACTTTGAACATTGTACTAATCTTGTGTATAACATAATGATATATGTATATATTGAGAAATGATTTCCACAGTAAGTTTGATTAATATCCATTACCTCCCTGAGTCACACATTCTTTTTTAACTTCTGATAAGAACATTTAAGATCGACTCTTGTAACTTTCAAATACACGACAGAGTCTTGTTAACTATAGTGGTCTATGTTGTTTGAAGATAAGGGTTATCTCAGTGATTAAGAAAAACAAAAAAGAATGGGTTCAGACTCCAGCATCTAGCTAGTCTTTCAATTCAACTAGGCCAGTCCTGATAAATCTCAGTAGTCCGAAAAAAATTTTTTTAATGTAGTACAATACACGTAACATAAAATTGATCATTTTAACCATTGTTAAGCATACGCTCGGTGGCATTAAGTCCATTCACACTACCATCCACCCCCAGAACGTTTTCATCATCCCAAACTGAATCTCTGTGCCAGTTAAATAGTAACTTGCCACCTCCCTCCTCCCCACTCCCTGGTAACCTCTATTCTACTTTCTGTCTCTATGAACTGGCCTGTTTTGGGTACCTCTTACAAGTAGACCCATGCAATATTTGTCCTTTGGTATCTGGCTTATTTCACTTAGCATAAATCTTTTTCAAGGTTCATCCATGGCACTTACCCAAATTTCATTCCTTTTTAAGACTAAATAATGTTGCATTGTGATATATAGATTTTCTTTACCCATTTGTCTGTTGATGGACATTTGAGTTATTTCCACCTTTTCACTATTGGGAATAATTCTGCTATGTATTCATCAGAAATATTTGTCAGAGTCCTTGCTGTCAGTTCTTTTGGGTAGGTATCCAGAAGTTGAACTGCTGTACTACATGGCAATTTCTACATCTTAAAAACAAAACAGAACACCTTTACCATTGAAATTGGTGAAAAAATGGTATAGCAGGGATACCCCTGCTTCTGCTCCATCCAGTTGGCCAGCACACTGTATTTCCTATTCTCTCAATGATAAAAATAGTGACAGCCATTATTTGTTGAGTGATGCTTATGTACTAGGTACTGCACTCAATACCTTTCTTATGTGTTAAGGACCATGCTGTCCCACATTTGACAGATGATTAAATAGACCCAGAGAAGTAAAGTCATTTGCTCAGGCTCACCTAGTTAGGAAAGTGGCAGAACCCAGCAAAGTCTGCCTCCAGAGTCTGCCTTCTTAACCTCCACGCTGTAACGTCCCCTTCTTCCATAGGAAGTCAAAACTTTTCCTGCTGTTTAAGCTGCAACCATGTCATTAGCACAGACTGCAGTGTGAGAGAGAATTCCGTACCTGTATCACGGGAGGCCATCTCATTCTCCTTGAACTCTCTCAGGAAAGGATATTGCTTAGGTTCAGCTGGTCCAGCCAGGGGCCTTCACTCTCTTGGGGTAAACAGCTTTTAAAATTCCTTTTTGAAAAAACTCAAGCTCTTTACCGATAAGCTTAGTTCTCTGAAGGTGAACCAAATTCGAAGTCCAGCTCTTCTGCTTGCACAAACAAGGCCTGGAAGGTGGGCGTCTTAATCTAGCCCAGAGGTTCTTTGCCTTTTAATGTATGCCAGCATCCCCTGGAGGGCTGGTTAAAATGCACATTAATGAGCTCACCCTGAGTTTCTAATTCAGCAGGTCTGGGTTAGGGCCTGAGAATTTTTATCTTCCCAGCTGCTGCTGCTGCTGATTGGGATGTCCCACACAGAGAACCATGGCTGCAGCTCAACATCCCTTTGCCAATGAACACTTCTGTATTGAACACGCGGGACATCGGAACACTGTGGCCACCTCTAGGTCATGGTCCTAAGGACATCCATTTGGTGTTATGGAACCAGATGGTTAAAAAAAAAATCTACAGTTTCAAAACTTCAAATGTGTCTTTTAAAAAGCAATTCTGGGGGGGCGCCTGGGTGGCGCAGTCGGTTAAGCGTCCGACTTCAGCCAGGTCACGATCTCACGGTCCGTGAGTTCGAGCCCCGCGTCGGGCTCTGGGCTGATGGCTCAGAGCCTGGAGCCTGTTTCCGATTCTGTGTCTCCCTCTCTCTCTGCCCCTCCCCCGTTCATGCTCTGTCTCTCTCTGTCCCAAAAATAAATAAACGTTGAAAAAAAATTTTTTTAAAAAGCAATTCTGGGGCGCCTGGGTGGCTCAGTCGGTTAAGCGTCTGACTCTTGATTTTGGCTCAGGTCATGATCTCATGGGTCGTGAGTCTGAGCCCTGAGTTGGGCTCTGTGCCCAAGTGTGGAGCCTGCTTGGGATTCTCTCTCTCTCCCCCTTTCTCTACTCCTCCGCTGGTGCTCTCTCTCTCTCTCACTCAAAATAAAGTAAAAAAATAAAATAAAAAGCAATTCTGGTGATTTGAAAAATATCAGAACTCTCTAAAAATTAAGCTATTTTTGCCTTTAATTCTCATTAGAAATCACATTTGTTTAAGACTTGCTAGATTTTCACATGAACTTATTGAAAGCATATGTCTCAAAAAAGGTTCCAAATAGTAGTCTAAATATCTAAGCTGATCTTGAATTGTCTACCATTAAAAACTTATCCCTCACTTATACAGGTTGGAAAGATCTTTATATTCTTATCAGTGTCATTGGCAGAAGAAATGCAGATGGCTTAATTACAAAGGGCTGATAACCTTGAATCTCAGAAAACTTTTTGTGTTGGCGTGTTATTCCCCTAATCCTCATCGTTGCCAAATTTCTCTTCCTATTAGTGACAGAATGTAAAGTCCGCATCGTTTTCATCTTCTGAATTAAACTTTAATTGTTCCAAAACATAGACTGTTCAATGCTCACAGACTAAGGGCCCAGATCTGTAGAAGTCTCATAAAAACTTTGGACGATTTCATTAATCTTTTTTTCTTCCCACTGTCAATTCCCCAGAAGGCTTTATTCAGCCCAGACAACATTCTTCAGACCTACCATCAATCTTATTTTTTCCAAACTATTTTCCTGCTTTGTCAGCATTCTCTGAGCAAAATTTTTAGGCCCAACAAAATACAAATGTTTTCTTCTTGCTACAAATGTTTAGCAAGTGAATTCAAACTTGCTTCCCCACCCGCTCCTGCCAGCATTAGGAACCCTAAGAAGATCTATTTTTTGTGTAAGTGAACCTGGTATTAACACCTCTTAATCAAGACCGAATTGGGCTATAATCATGCAGATCACTAGACTAAACCTCTCATTTTATGTACCCAACTTAGGCCTCAGGATACAAATCCCTTTTGAAAAGATTCAAGCCATTATATAGGGTAAAAATCATCGTGAGGTTCAGTCCACCTCTCAACTGGTATGGCGTTCAAACAGAAGACAGCATGTACTAATTGTCCTTTAGACTTTCCATCTGAATTAAACAGTTTGGAAATAAAATTACTTTCATTAACATTTAATATGATTTGGGAGATGTAAGGCTGCATTATATTGACCTTTTACTTCAAGTCGCAAGTGAATGGCAAATCATTACAATAATTAGATGAGATAGTTACTTATTAACCAAGGATCCAAGGAGATTCTGCAATGAAGATGATGCAAATATAATAATTTAAAAATAAACACTTTCACTAGGTCATAATTGAGTGGAAAATAAAATAAAGCCTTCTACAAGGTTAATTTTCATGACTTCTCAGAATTTGCTGATGACCTAAGACTACAGTTTTTCAGATAAAGTAGATTAAAAAACAAACAAACAGCATTATTTTGCTTGGAAGCACAAAGTACGGTCCTCTTCCCTCCCACCACGAAGGGATTTAAATATCCTTAAAATTTGTTTCAATCAACTTTGCAAATACTACATAGTTGAATCTCAATAGGTAGGAAGAGAAGCTGAAGAAAGATACAGTAAACACTTCTACTGAGTTCATTTCTAATAAATTATTGGTTCTCTTGTTGCTTTTGGAGGACTGATTTTTCATTAGAAACATAAGCAGCTCTTAAAATACCAATTAGATAGTAGGGGTATCTTTCAGTAAAAGGAAAAAATATACCTGAACCAATGCCAACCAACCAACGAAAACCCGGCAAAGCCCTAGGTTACTATGTGGGAACGATACAAAATTCAGGACACTTGAGGATGTGTTAACAGGTTGCATCCCCAGAATGATTTGCATTGCTTCTTAAGCAAATAAAAACAATCTGTTCTGCAGCAGGCCAAATTTCTCCATGTACAATGTCTAAAAAGCAATTTTGTTGTCAGTCCAACCAAACATTCTACTGCTGACCTTTAAGAAGAATAACACAAAAGCCAGAAGAGTTTGTCTCTTTTCTTGGGGGTATTTCCATTATAATTAGTTGTCTAAACAGTTCTCTCATTACTAATAATATTTGGTGTGTTTTACTTTTCTGACACTTTGCAGGTAAAATATCTCTAAGGAAGTTTGAGAAAATATTTTTGGAAATGTTTCTGTTATATCAAGTCAATGAAAGGAAGGAGGAATCAGATTCTTGTCCTGACTATATTATTTGCTTCCTAAGTGATTTCTCAACCTATCTGTCATTATAGAATTATAGAATTTGAGCTGGAAGAGATCTAAGAGGGTGCCTTATTCAATAGATAAGAAAAAAGGATCCCATGAAATTTAAATAGCTTGCCCAAGTTCATGTAACTAGTAAGAACTGTGGATCCAGGGAAGACAAGAACAGACCTTGGGATGCTCATGGTTACTGTCTCAAGCAATGACCACATTTCTAAAAATAGGTGTGTGCACATGCGTACACACACACAGAAGTAACCACGGCCATCTGTATTTTTACCGCATGACCAGTAGCTGATACACATACGATCAACAGCATTATTACACATGTTGATTAAAATACAATTTATGAAACTGGGGAGTAAAAATATTAGTGTTCAATTAGCATAAGATGGCCTGTTTTTGCTAAAGATAATGCAACACTCCATCTTTATGGTTTGTTTAAATATAGGGCTTTAGAACTTCATAAGCAGTTTTATCATAGGGTCACGTCAGCTTGATATGATATTTTTACTCCTCATTAATTATATACTGATATATACGATTCTCTAAAACATCTTAAAGTCGGCTGATCTAAGAATTTACAGGGTACCAGGTGGGTCTGACTTAGATGGCAACCAGCTGATAGGTGAAGCCCTGAAAGAGACAACTTGCCTGCAGCTATCAACGCATGTGTGGACTAAAACATGAAAACGTATTCTAAGAATTTAGGTCACTCAATTAAAATCCTGAACATATAGACACTGGGAGACATGTGTATATATATATTGTAAAAACATCTATGTGAGGACATTGATCAGAAAGGTAGAAAAAATTAGGCCACGGAATTGTTTGGATCATGATTAAAAAGATAGTAGTTTTTTTTTATCCCCCTCGAAACATTATACGTTTTGATTCAATTGTAGACCCACGTGTGACATTTTTCTTTTGATTCTGTGATATAGCGGGAACACCCAGAGAGGTTGTTTTCCTACCATTTTTGTTTTCTCTTAACTTTAGTATTACTTCAAATGGAATTCTTAATCCTGATGCTACAGACCTGACTTTTATTAATCTATTCTGATGAGACTCCCATGACTTTGTGTGAACATTAGAGAATTATACTTTGTCCTTGTTCCTACAGCTACCTTCACCGAAAGACAAAAACAAAAGTCTGTATTATAAATGAACCATACATACCATTGCTATAGTTATAGTAGACCCACTGCCCACTCTTGGGTTTTGGAAGTGACACAGGTGTCTCTTCAGCAGGAAGACTGTAGAATCTGCATTCAACGAACAGCCGTTGGATAGTGTCATCTGCGGTTACTCGAGAATCATTAAGGCTTAGAGCTATGATCTCAATCCGAATTTTTTCTGATGGCTGTTTCAAGAGCAGAAACAAAAAACAACAAAGAAACATAAAACAAACGAGCAGAAACCCATTTACTCTTTTTCACTATCAATTTTAAATAAAACATGAAGGCCAATGGGTTTCTTTTTTGGAACACATTGTACACGACTGTGTAGTTACACATGATAGATTATTCACGACAGAGAGAGAGAGAATGAGATTCTAATGCCCCAGGGTTTGAAGTTAACAGTGTCATGGCAATAGTCTCCTGATTTACATTTGAGGCTATAAATACCCCACTAGTAGTCTATCAGGGCCGAAGATTATGAGATCTTCATCTCCGATTGCTTTCAGAATGACAAGTATCACTTGGCCTTGTTTCAATCTATGTAATGAAGTACATGTTTATCACTGCTTTTATTTAATCTATTGTACCTGAGAAAGTTTCAGTTATTTAGAGATCAAAGCCTGTTGAATACTTCATAGTGATTATGCTAGTATACGTTGCTATATGAATCCGTATTAACTACAGCAGAAACTATAGTCCATTGTCTTATATATTCTGCCACAACATATTTCATTCAATAAGTAATGTTTTTAAACAAGAGAAACAAACTGTCTACCTAATTTAACACAGGTTTTCTTGTGATTTATTTTTTACCTCATTTTTACAGATTTAATAATTACAAATAACAGTTTTACTGTGTAATTTTCATTTCAATCCTTACTTAATACATTTTGGTGCCACAGACATTATTATACAAGCCATATATGTTTCCTTGAGTGATGACTTAACACAAACACCAGTCTCTGACTTAAAAATTAGATCACACCAAGGTAACTCCTCCCTTAGAACTGTAAAATTTTTTACAATTTTAAATTTATACTTCATTCCCTTTTACTAAACCCCTCTTTACTAAATTCAGAAGCACGCTAGAAAATCCTGAAACCAGGACCTGTCTATATGGCCAACTTTTTAGGAACTCCTTGTCAAACATAAATCAGTTGTGCAAATTCACCATAGTGACTACTTAGATGTTTCAAAGCATATAATATAATTAATCAAACTGAAAAGCATAACTATCCTATTGTAAAAATATCCCCATAAAGAACAATTTCTATTGCTGTCAAACCCCCTCAATATTTGATGAAGTAATTTTGCCCCATTCTTTCAAAAGACATTTTCTTTTATTATGTATTCTAAGACACTTTAACTAAAAACCCAAATCTGAATATTTCAATAAGGTTATTTTATTATTCAGTAGATTCATGGAAATTTTACTAGGATGACAGAGAAAATTCCACACCATTCTGTCTCCACTAATACAGGTACGAGGCTGCAGCTGGCAATATTACTAGGATTAGCATAGTATGATGAAATATTTAAAGGAAAATTTTTTCTAAAACCTAATAAATCAAATGACTGCCAAATGTCATTAAAGTGATGGTCTTTGACTTGAATATGCTTTTCATATTCAAATTTGAAAAGAAAGAGATGGAAGCCTGGAAAGGTTACTCGGTTTCAACTAATAACCTCGAGCCCTCTCCATTCACGTGCATAAAAAATGAAGTTGGCTCTATTGTCTAACCTCACTTCAGAAAAGCCCTTCTCTGCTTGCTGAAGACTAACATGGGAAAGAAAATATTTTAAGTGATATTATTTTTTCCTTAAAATGCATCGTGGTTGTCAGAATACCACATGCGCACACACATTTTATAATTCTGGTTCAAATGGAGCACCGTGCATAATTAAGTCTTTTTACATGCCTTGTAATTTGAAAAACTCAGAATTGTTATAACAAACATCTTATAAAATATTCCTGCCTCGGCACAAAAGAACTAAAGGAAAACAGCCACCGAGAGGCAAAATGGTTACCTCTACGTTGTGCAGAGAAGAGTTTAAAGTTGTTTATCACAGAACCCAATGAAGAGACAAATGAACTTATAAATAGCAGGGGAATCAAATTTATTTAACCGGTTATTTTATTAATAATATATTAAGTGTACAATCCCCATATAAAAACTTGCATTACTATAAGGACAAATTTAGGTTATCAGATAAGACTATATACAAAAATAGAATTCTAAATGAAAGTAGATTACAGCCAAAGAAACAAGCAAAAACATCAATACCAAACAAACCAAAAGAAAACCCATCATATTCAAATAAATTTAAAAGAGCTTTAAAATTCCTTACATGGCATCATCTCCTTTCTGGTCCAGTTTTTTATTGTTATTCCCCCTCGAGCCTCATTACCTCTATCCCATGTCCCTTAAATTCTCTAATATTATGTATAGAAGTTATTAGTTACCATTTCTTTGTTTTTTTTTTTTTTTTAAATATGTATTTATTTTTGGGATAGCACAAGCGGGGGAGGGGCAGACAGAGGGGGACAGAGGATCTGAAGCGGGCTCTGCGTTGACAGGCTGACAGGAGCGAGCCCGATGTGGGGCTCAAACTTAGGAATGGTGAGATTTGAATAACTTGAGCCGAAGTCGGACACTCAACCAACTGAGCCACCCAGGTGCCCCTTTTGTCTTTTTAAAAAAATGTTTACTTATTTTGAGAGAGAGAGAAGGAGACAGCAGGTGGGGGAGAGGCAAAGAGGGAGGGAGAGAAAGAGTCCCAAGCAGGCTCCATGCTGTCAGTGCGGAGCCTGATGCGCGGCTCGATTCCTTGAACCGTGAGATAGTGACCTGAGCCGAAATCAAGAGTTGGATGCTTAACAGATTGAGCCAGCCAGGCGCCCCATCTTTGTTCTTTTTATGCTACATAAATCAACTTAAAATAAATTAGATGGATGGATAAGTTCCAAATAGTATATATCCAGGGAAGCATGCTCTGTCTGAATAAAGAATTTTCTAAACATTATACCTTTTGGCTACCGGGGCTAGCCAATTTATTTTTCAACATTGGAACAATTCTGGTTGTGTTTTTGCCTCTGTGAATCAAAAGTTCAACTAGATTGTAAATAAGGATTTTGAAGATTAAGAAGTACATCAGCTGTCTGACTGACGGTTCAGTCAGACAACTTCGTGTCAGAAATGAACTCATACCCTCTCCCCTGATCTCATTCATCCTCCGATATTTCCCATCTCAGGTGACATCACCAGCCACCTGGCCACCCTACAGCCAGGAGACCTCGGAGCCACGGTTGCCATTTTCATTTTTCATACCCACCACATCCTGGAGATCACCCATCCCTATTCATACCACTTCCTGAACACAATGATTCATCAGATTATTGAAAGCTTGTGTTTCAACATTGTATCAGCTATTGGGGATAAAAAGACAAAACAGGATGTGGCTTCTCTTTTCATTTTTATCTCTAGAGAAATTTGTTTAGGTTCTCATCTGATCTGGGGGGAAGGACTCCCTCAACAGCTGCCTAGTATTAGCATGCAGTATAATGGAGTAACAAGGGAGAAATGAGAAGGGATCATGAAAGAGAACTGGCTGGCAGAACTGGACGCAGATGGACGGTACCAGCCTATAAACTCAGGGACTCAGGGACGCGAGCTACCCTGCTTATGACATCACTGCTGTTGGCATGCAGCACACGCTCAGAAACGAAGGGATCTACTCTCACGGCTAGAAGAGAGGCGAGGCACTCCTGCCCCTAATCCCTGGTCTGGAGTCTCAGCTGCTCTTCCTGTGGCTGAATTCTCTCCCTAAAAACAAATCAGGTATCACCCTTTCTGCTTGAAAGCCTGTTAACTTACACACTAGCCATTTTCTGGGACCAGTGGTGTGCTGTTTATATAGCTCAGGTTTTTTGCATCTGAAATCTTCTCCACCAGACAAAATTCTACTTATTTTATGTCCTGGGCCACACATGCTGTCCTTTTAGGATAGCATTTCTACTCTCCAAGGGTGAGCTGGTTCCTCCTCTGGGTCCTTACTACACTTCCTAGTCACGTTATACTTCATGGATTTTTTTTTTTTTTTTTTTTTTTTTTTTGCCTATCTGCTTCTCTGTAGACTGTGAGCTCCTGGAGGCCAGAGCCTTGTCTTATTAATCTTCTGCTATTTAATATCCTATCTGGCACATAGTAGGCTCTCAATAAATACTTAAAGATATGGAGTCAAGGGAGGCTGAATATTTTTTATATATTCAGAATATCTTGTATATTGCCAGTAAAAGGTGTAGCTGCATTTTTTTTTTTTTTAGGTTTTCTTTTTTAACAAATATTTATTGTGTCTCCCGTGTTTTGGTAAGTTGGTTATTACTAACTGTTGAAAAATATATAGAAATCTTGCTGTTTAAGGTTTCAGTTAAATAAGAGTATTTCAAAGACAGGTCAATATTGTGGAACTGAGATGGGAGGTTACTATTTTTTGAACTTTTCCGATTTTTCATAATAAAACAATGAAAAGTTCCACTAGGAGACTTGCAAGGGATAACCATACACTGATTCAAACAAGTCTTTGCAGTCAGATGCATCATAATGTCTGTTTAGGATCTCTAGAACAAGACAATTGTACTTCTGTAGGGTATTGGTAGCCTTCACATGTAGTAAGTTGGCCACACGGTATAGGCTTTAGGCTTTTCCTGTCTTCTATTCTGTATGTGTGAACGTTTGTTACTAAGTATGATGTTACTTTTGTCTTGTTCACCAAGTGCCCTATTTACATCTCTAGTTAGCAAGATGTTGACGTTAGCATATAAAAAAAAAAAAAGCATTTAAAAGTCGACGGTGGTGAACAGAAGTAAGAGAAGTCACTCAAGTAAGAACTTATTTTTACTTGCCTGTATAGATGGACACTCCATACTGTGTGATTGAATGATCTAGAAATGTGATGACAGCTTGTATTACTCGCAGAGAAAAAAAGTTAAAAGTTCTCATGATTTTGGCTCAATTCCACCATTGCTTCCTGACTGATGCTAATTCACTTTTTAGGCCATATTTTTCTACAGTATTTACTTAAGCTTTTATTGGCATGCTTAAATTTTTTATGTTTTACTTCAGAGGATCATGCTGAATTCTTCCTCTGGTTTCAAGCATCAGAGCAGTCACATTGGAGTTGA